ACGGCACTGCTATATTGTAACTGCAGGAGGAACTACACTGGTTGTAGAGATGTTTTGTGGAGAAATAATATTTTTTACTCCTTTAGGTAGCTTCTTTTCGAAATCATTTTCTCTGGACGGAAACATGGCATACACAGCGGTGTTGTGTGCTATGGATGACGTGGAAAACCTCGTGTGGATTAGACAAAGTTAAGACTACAGGTGTATATTTAGTTTTTAAGAGATAAAGTGTTTAAAGCAAAGTATTTTAGAAAGTATCCATTCATGCAGGAATCTGAAAATATGAGTTAGAACAAGAAGCATATACACATACAGTTGACGCCAACATTTCGATTAGTCCCATCAGTCCAATCACGTTTCATGCCAAGGGGCTGTTCGTATGGAACTGGGATGATTCGTTTAACAAGGCTCTTATCACAGCTATGATAAACATCCAATGATTTAATTTTATTTATAAACTTCACAATCAACAAAACGATTGAAGGTACAGACAACATGACTGAGGAGTTTCAAATTAAGTCCTACCTACAGTCCTACACATTACATTGACATTGTGAAACAATAGAGATAGGCTTACAAACTTTAACAAAGCTACAACACAAAATTACAACACACGATCAATGAGTTCCAAACCATCCTTACACTTTCCAAAGTTAATAGACATGCTTGGACCACCCATATATTGCAGTCCTTTCTATGTCAACTACCTTATAATGAAGAGACCTGAAAATTGCAAAGAAAATATGGGAAATGAGCAAGTTACAAAAAAAAGAAAATGATCAAATTTCAAAGTTCAATTCGCTTAGTTTGATTCCAGTAATTGCATGTATAAAGTTCATTCATGTTTTATGGTCAGGGAAAAATATTTCGTGACATGAGTCATCCTGGGTAGCCGGGCACATATGAACAGCCCCGAGACCTGTCAGCCCCAATACCTGTCAAATTTACACTTATTTTAAGAAAGGTTTTGAATACCTTGGAAAGTTTGCAGGTTATATGGTGCCAACGAAATGAAGGTTTGAGCAAAATGTAAATACGCAGACAGCGAGAGTTCCGCGTTCACATACGTGGTACTTGGCTGGAAACAAAGAAATACCAGACCGTAATATTAATTATCGCATCCTGCTTGACGAAGAATACATACTTGAATTTGGTTGAAAATTTTTAATGTAGAGATGACAACTGAGATATTTATACATTAGAAATCTAGTTGTGTATTTGTTAGTGCAGACCTGCTTGGAGAAAGAGTGTAATGTGTGTCTCAAATTTGCCTTGTCAGGGTTCGTAGCGGTCTTTGAAATCCTTGAAAGTCTCTAAATCTGAGTCTTTGAATTGTGTGAAAAAGCGAAGAAAGTCTTTAAAAGTCTTTAAATTCCTTAGTGAGTATTTGATTATACGATTTCCTAGCTAACAAAATAGATGGATTGAACCAAGATTTTTGCAAATATCGACGAAAAGGCGCATTTTAGGATGTGATTTGACGGGACTAATTACTGGGTAAAAATGGTGCTTACACTCGCAATTTTTCGACAGCTGCTTGCCTTCAAAGATCTTTGCTTGAAAAGTCTTTGAAAATAGGCAGAACAAATCTTTGAAAGTCTTTGAATTTTTTTGGTCTTGGAGACTACGAACCCTGCTTGTTCAAATGTTCCTCAAAAGTAGTACATGCAACGACGTTACATACAACTAATTTTGTAGTTGGAAGTTTCGAGTGTGAATTTTATACATTTATTACACCTAATAACCAGGAGGGGAAAATGATTCCAACCCAAGGTATGATTTTTGCTTTGTGCAATCACAGTTATTTTAATAGATGGTTTGGAGACTCGATGAAAGTACAATATATAACTCATTAACTATGTTATTGTCCAGCTTTGTGCAAGAATTTGGTCCTATCTCGTCACGTGTGTATTGTATTTCCGCTCAAATAACCAATAACAAGTTTGTGGTTGAGTTATCCATCCGTAACTTGAACAAATGCTCAATTTAAACATTGCTATTGGTTGTGCGGGAAAAAATACAATACACACGTGACGAGATAGACCCAAATTCTTGCATAAACCGAA